AAATTATAGTGGTGTTTCAAAAGTTAAATGAAGAATAAATGCAAATATAAAAGCTCTGACTTTGCTCAGTATGTATGATGACTTCAGTGTGTAAGAAGCTGTTTGATACCTGTAAAAACTACTTTTAAAAAAGTTCCCCTAGCATCTGTTAGGCCAGAGTGTTGGGGATGCATCCCAGTGGTATAGCACTTGCCTAGTGCTCCTTTAAAAAAAAAAAAAAGTTAAAAATTAAACAAGGGCGGGCTGGAGTTGTGGCTCAGCTGTGGAGCACTTGCCTGGCATGCACGAGGCCCTGGGTTCGATACCCAGCACCACATAAAAATAAGTAAAATAAAGGCATTGTGTCCAAGTACAACTAAAAAATAAATATTTAAAAATATATATTGTTAAAAAAATTAAACAGGGGGCTGGGGTTGTAGCTCAGTGGTAGAGTGCTTGCCTGGCACATGTGAGGTACTGGGTTTGATCCTCAGCACCACATAAAAATAAACAAATAAAATAAAGTTATGCTATCCATCTAAAAATTTTTTAAAAAAATTTTTTTTAAATAAACAGAATGATCGTACAATCCTGCAATTTCACTTCTAGGTACATGCCCAAAAGAAGTGAAGGAAGGAACATGCACAGATATTTGTATACCAATGTCCAGAGCAGCATATTAACAATAGCCAAAAGGTGGAAATGACCCAAATTTTCACCAACAGGTGAACTAATCAACAAATGTGGTATATACATGCAATGGAAATATTATTCAGTCTTAAAAATTGCCAGGCATGGTGACACACACCTGTAATCCTAACAACTTAGGAGTGTGAGGCAGGAGGATTTCAAATTGGAGGTGAGCCTCAGCAACTTAATGAGACCCTGTCTCAAAAAAGATAAAAAGGCAGGAGGTATAACCCAGTGGTAAAGTGCCCCTGGACTCAATCTCCAGTACAAAACAAAAGGAATGAAATTCTGGTACATGCTACATGCTACAACATGGATAGATTTGAAAACATGCTAAGTAAAATAATCTACACACATAAGGACAAATATTGTATGAATCTGCTTATATGAGGTACCTGGAATTAGGCAAATTCATAGAGGCGGAAGGTAGATTAGAGGCTACCAGGGGCTGAGGAAAGAGGAGGTACAGATTTTTTTATATTTTATTTTTTTAGTTATAGATGGGCACAATACCTTTATTTTATGTGGTGCTGAGGATTGAAGCCAGTGCCTCACATATGCTAGGCAAATACTCTACCACTGAGGCATATCCCTGTCCAATAGACACAGATTTTATGTTGAAAATGATGGAAAGTTTTTTTAAAAAAACATTTATTTTTTAGTTGTAGATAGACACAATACCTTTATTTTATTTTTATTTTTTTAATTATTTGTAGTTGTAGATTGACAGAATGCCTTTATTTTATTTGTTTATTTTTATGCGGTGCTGAGGATCGAACCAAGTCCCTCATGCATGCTAGGCAAGTGCTCTGCCACTGGGCTATAGCCCCAGTCCTATTTTATTTTTATGTGGTGCTGAGGATCAAACCCAGGGCCTCACACATGCTAGGCCAGCGGTCTTCCTCAAAACCACAACCCCAGCCCCTTGTGAATGTATTTTATGACACTGAATTATCCACTTACAAAGGGTTAAAATGTTTAATATTACACACACACACACACACACACACACACACACACACACATAAAATATAAAAGACTACTTAGCTACTTTTTGTGAAATTACCTATTTTTAAGTGGTCTTTTTTATTTATTTATTTTTTTTTTTTAGTTTTCAGTGGACTTTATTTTATTTATTTATATTCAGTGCTGAGAATCAAACCCAGTGCCTCACACATGCTAAACAAGTTCTCTACCACTGAGCCACAGCCCCAGCCCTGAAATTACCTATTCTGAGTTTTGTGCCAGGCAGATTAAAGAGGTTGGACCATAAATACTTCTCTGAAACCTCCTTTTTGTTAAACATGTATTGGTCTTCCCAAATCAATACTTTTAAATATACTATAGTCACTTTAACAACTCTTTAGTTTTCTCTTATGTAGATAAGCCATGATTTATTTAACCAGTCCCTAATGCATAGATATTCAAGTAACATTTAAAGTTTTGCTTTTGCAGAAAATACAGTCTTGCACTTCTGAAAGTAGTTCGATGGGATATATTCCCAGAGGTAAAAACAATGGGTCAAAGGGTAGCCACATTTGAAAATTTTTTTCCTTTAGTTTTTAGTTCTTTCCCACTAAGGAGAGCTACTGGAGTTAGCTGATGTTCTATTACACAGTTAGGAAATATCCAGCTGATCCCACATAGTTGCATTTTGTTTTGTTTTGGCCTGAGGTACCAGGGATTAAACTCAGGGGCACACGCCCATGGAGCCACATCCCCAGCCCTCTTTTGTATTTACTAAAAACAGGGTCTCACTGAGTTGCTTAGCACCTCGCTTTTGCTGAGGCTTGCTTTGAACTCATGATCCTCCTGCCTCAGCCTCCTGAGCCGCTGTGATTACAGGCATGCACCGACACACCCAGTTTCCCCACATAGTTTTCAAACTAGAACTGATAAATGGAATTAAAAGACTTTCTGGGATCAGTTAGAACACGGATCAACAAAACATAGCCTGGGGACCAAATGCACCTTGCTGCCTGCTTTTATAGGCCATAAGCTAAAAATGTTGTTGTTTTACATTTTTAAGTAACTGAAAGAAAAAAAATTCAGGGAAAATATATAAGAAAAAAAATTTTTAAAGAGATAGAGAGAAGAGAAAGAGGATTTTTTTAATATTTATTTTTCAGTTTTCGGTGGACACAACATCTTTATTTTTTATTTTATGTGGTGCTGAGGATCGAACCCAGCACCCCTGCGCATGCCAGGCAAGCACGTTACCGCTTGAACCACATCCCCAGCCCAAGAAAATTTTATAAGAAATTCAATCATTTTACTGAAATAGAGCCACACATGTTTTACATATCAGCTGCTTTCATTCATTGTAATAGCAGGATTAAATGTTTAAGGTCTTGACCTTATAGCCTGCAAAGCCTAAAGTATTCACTGTCTGGCCCTTTACAAAAAAAAAAAAAAAAGTGTGCCAACCTCCAACCTGAGCAACATTTTAAAGAGCAGAACCTAGTTCTCTAGGTAAAGGGCAAAGAAAAAATCGTCACCTAGCCGTTGAAGAAATATTGTAAGAAGTTGCTTGGTTTTCTGGATAATTTAGAATGCAAATAGTTTCACATTTTCTTCATTACTGTGGTAGGGTGGTAGGGAAGCAACAACTGGAAGAACAGGTAGCCACAGCAAGTAGCTACAGGACTCCACTTTTTCTGGACTCTTTTGGATGCTAATGTAAAGAGTATTGTGTTTTGAATTTCAAATTCCAATTGCTTATTGCTGGTTCATAATAAAGTGATTGGCTTTTGTATATCAACCTTATTTCATGACAATAATAATCACATATTAGTTCCAGGAGATCTATGTCAATTCCTTGACATTTTCTACCTAGACAATCATGTCATCTACTCCATTGGATTCTTGACCCAAACTATTTTTCCTGTAATTTCAGCTTTTTACTTTTGTTTCTCCACCAGTTATAATCATGGTTGCCAACTATAAATAATTTTTCAGAGACAGAGAATATCGTCTCCCCATTTTTTCTGAGACTATCCCTTAATAGAGTAAAAAGGACAAAGGAAGACATGGAAAAGTTAAAATAAAGAGAAAATGCAAGCACGAGTAAACACTGTGATATTACCAGGAAGTTTGGCCTCCTTGTCCTAACTAAGTAACGTAAAGCTTATAGAAATATTTAACTGACTTACTAGAAATGGAGACCAGACAGCAAAATTTCACCCAGAGGCCAAGGTGCCCTGACCCCGATGCTCAGCCCCCAGCCTCAACCTGCATTGCAGTCCCCCAGCCTCATACCAGTGTCGGATGTGAGAGCCTGTGATTAAGTAAGAAATCAAGCCTCACTGGAGACAGAGGTTCAAGCAAAGTCTGGACAACCACTTTTCTAGAAAAGAAAGGAAACTCATGCATCAGAAAAGGTGACTAATGGGGCTGGAATTATGGCTCAGTGGTAGAGCGCTAGCCTAGCTTGCACGAAGCACTGGGTTTGATCCTCAGCATCACATAAATGTAAAGATATTGTGTCCACCTAAAACTTAAAAATAAATATTTAAAAAAAAAGAAAAGGTGACTAGTAAGCATACCAAAAGAATATGGCTGCACAAATACCAGAATCTGATCAGATAAAACAGTTTAGGGAATTCCTTGAAATCTGCGATAAACTTAAGAAACATTCTTTTTGGACTGTGTAAAAGACTTCAAAAGAATAGAAGTAAAACCTGAAGAGACCACCTATTCAGAACATTGCTTACAAAAATATTTTAAAATGAGAGGCTGAGGCTGTAGCTCAGTGGGAGAGTGCTTGCCTAGCACGTGTAAGACACTGGGTTCGATCCTCAGCACCACATAAAAATAAATAAAATAAAGGAACTGTGTTCATTCACAACTAAAAATATTTTTTTAAAAAAAGAAATATTTTAAAATGACACAAAGAATATCCATGAGATTTCAGGAATATCATAATCAGCAGAATGATGCCCTGGCAGCCAAAGCAGGACTCCTCCATCAACCATGATAGAGAAATCCTGCTGGATGGACTTTCAATGAAAGATTGCCAACAGCTATTGCACTGGAAATGAGGATTCATCAGATGGAATCCTCCAAAAGCAGTAGGCACCATGTTAAACCATCTGTCATGACTCTTTGGCAATGGAAACTAATGACAAAACAACAGAAGATCTTATTGTTCAGAGACAATAATAAGATACATTTGTTGAGGCCTTAAGATTCAGCAGCTTGGTCATTTGATTAGAAAAATAAACCATTGTATTCTCCACTGTGATTGTTAATTTTAAAGCAAAATATATGTCTAATCATGTACGATAGAAAAAAATTACTAAAATAAGTTGAAATATCACTAAAAAAATTACCATATGCCATTTGGGATGGCTGCTGATAGTTATCATCATGGCTTTGAAAACTTGGTTGTATGGACGATGTGTCCTCAGTGGATGTGTCTGGAGCAATCTCTGTTTCAGAATCCTCTATTACCACTACATCATCATCATCATCATCATCATCATCATCATCATCATCATCATCATCAACATTGTTCTCATTCTCATCTTCAATAGTAATAATAATATAATCTAAGAATAAACAAAGAGAAAGTTTAAATTAGATATCGCATTACATAAGTTATGGGTGTTTAAAAAACTTATTTTAGCTGGAAAATTGTATGAAGTCTTTTTATATCTGTAACCATTAAAAGTTAGCTAGCAAACCATTTATATAATACATATATGTATTATGTATGTATACACATTTAGAGGATTGTTTTCTAGTACTTCCAATTTTTTAGAGCAATACATTTTTTTTGAGGGGGGGTACCAGGGATTGTACCCAGGGGTGCTTAACCACTGAGCCACATCCCCAGCCCTTTTTAATATTTTATTTAGAGACAGGGTCTCACTAAGTTGTTAGAGCCTCCCTAAATTGTTGAGACTGGCTTTGAACTTGTGATACTCCTGCCTCAGCCTCCCAAATTGATGAGATTACAGGCCAGCTGCTGGGATTACAGGCATGTGCCACTGTGCCCAGTGAGCAATACATTTCTACAATGGAGCAATAAATTTCTTCTAATTTTAGAAATATGCTGGCCCAGTGGCACACATCCATAATCCCAGCTACTCAGGAGACAAAGGCAGGAGGATCACAAATTTGAGGCCAGCCTGGGCAAGTTAGGGAGACCCTGTCTCAAAATAAAAAATAAAAAGGGCTGGTGGTAGACCACCCCCGGGTTCAATCCTGATGGGAGGGAGGGAATGTCACCATTTGTTCCATGCTACAATGCGTTCCTTCAATGATTTGCTTTTAACTCTTAAATGATGAAACTGATGTTACATGGCCACACTTATGCTGACCATGAATTTCAAATTTTGTTCTCTAAAAAATAATACTTGTGGGGCTGGGATTATGGTTCAGTGGTAGAGGGCTTGCCTACCATGTATGAGGCACTGGGTTTGATCCTCAGCACCACATAAAAAAGTAAATAAATAAAATAAAGTTATTAAAATAATAATAATACTTGTGATGATTAAAATGTAAAAATAGGGCTGGGGTTGTAGCTCAGTGGCAAAGCATTTGCCTCCCACATGTGAGGTGCTGGATTTGATCCTCAGCACCACATAAAAATAAGTAAAATAAAGGTATTATGTCCAAAAATGTTTTGTGTCTAAAAAAAATTTTTGTGTCTAAAAAATTATTTTAAAGAAATGTAGAAATAAAGTACAAAAGTAAATGTTATGAAGTAAATTAAATTCAAGCTGAATCTCACAAAATGTGAGATCCAGTAGCCACAAAGGAATTAGATGGAAAAATATCAACTTAGTACACCATTTTAGTGGATATGAAAAACAACACATTATGCAGAGTGTCTAATATCTAAATGGCCTTACTTATTTCTTAGAGTTGGCCAAAAAAGAATATTTAAGTGTAAACTATTTACTCAGAGATCACGTTTTTTGGTTTCATCATAACTTGGATTCCTATATTTCAAATAGATCAAAAGAGATGAATAAAGTCATCAGTTAGACAGAGGTGATATGGTGGTATACAAATGGTACTAAATTAGGAATTATGAAGGTTCCAGATCAGATTTTGAAGTTATACAAAAGTATGACTTTTGGGACAGATACATCAACTCTTTTGCCTCTGTTTTCTCATCTATAAAATGTGTAGCTGGGGGACTGGGGTTTTAGCTCAGTGGTAACGCGCTTGCCTAGCATGCATGAGGCACTGGGTTCGATTTTCAGCACCACATACAAATAAATAAAATAAAGGCCCATCAACAACTAAAAAATATTTTTTAAATGTGTAGCTGGGTTTTAAAAGTCACTCCAAATACTAATATTCTTCTTGGAAAAAAATTAGAAACTATCAAATAATCTAAACAAAAGGATTAAGTAAAAATTAAATAAATTATAGTATATAATTAATGAGAAGCATGTTTTTTTTTAAAAAAACATGCTTGTAAAATATTAGATATGCTTGTAAAATATTGTTAAGGAAGGGGAAAGGATTCAAAACAGAAAAATGCATCATACTACTCACTTTGAAAGCCACAGAAAACATATCAAAGATTATTTGGGTGACTATTTCTAAGTAGCAAAATAATTATCTTATTAGACCTCCCTGTGAAAATCTACAGTAAACTTTAGGTTTTACCATCAGAAGAAAATAAAAAATGTTATTGAAATTGTATTAAGACAAATTTTGGATATTAACGAATTTTCACACTTGAACTAGTAAATCTATTGACAACTTCACTAAGATTTTTCAGTAAATGTGTAAAACTCCATTTAATCATTTAGGTATATACACAGCCTTCAAAATGAAATTTTAAAAGACATACAACATTTAGAAGTATTTTTTTTTCTTTTTAAGAACAAGTTCCCAAAGTGCAAGCTATTCACTTGCCATCAGTTTATCCCTTAAGGCATAGTGCACAACTAGGAGTGGAAAAGGCATTTAGCCCCAGGACCTCTTACGGAAATAGGGAGCTGCTTACAACAGCCAGACTGCTCCAATTTAAAAAAGCAAGCAAACAAACACACACACACACACACCTCGTGTGAATACACCAACCAATCACTTGCTAAATTTTCTAGTAAGACTCTCCCTATCAAACTTTGAAGACTACAAAATCCGCCACGTGGGGATAAGGCAGCCAAATTATATCCCATTGCCCAGCACTTGCTGCGGGCCAGACAAGTCACGCTCCAAACTGCACCTAGCCCGCGGAAAAGTTGCTATTGTAAACATTAAACGGTTTTTACCACCTCGTGTTACAAAACTTCAGAGCAATCAGAACTGCAGACAACCCGCAAAGGAGGGAGGGAAGCAATCCCCAACAGCCTAAATTAGATCCTTTTCTATCCAACGACCACACAGCAGGTGGCCTGGGACACGAGCGCACCCAAACCCCACGCGCTTTACAGGGATCTCCACATTTTGCAATTTTTCCTGACTCTAGCATCTGCCTCCCTGAAGCAAAGAATAGGCTCAATACGTTGAGATGTCTCCTCAACACGCTACATCTTTATTTTCTTCCGCATTTTTAATTACCCTTTTTGTTCTAATTAGTTATACAGGATAGAATGCATTTCAACTCACTGTACACAAATGGTCTCCCTCATTCTTGTATTTACAATAAAACAATAAGGCTGTGCTGACTTTTAACCAAAGGCGATTACCACCAAAGCCTGAAAATCAAAAAGGCTGCCGCTGTCTGTAACCAAAGTCGGTTATCACCAAAGCCTGAAAATCTACATAGCAATAGAGAAAGATGTTATCTGAATCAACACGCCAGTTCGTAAATTTGGGGGAGGGGAACTGGGGGTTGAACTCAGGGGCTCTCTACCACTGAGCCACATCCCCAGTCCTTTTTATTTTTTGAGACAGGGTCTTGCTAAATCGCTTAGGACCTCGCTAAATTGCTGAGGCTGGCTTCCAAATGGCGATCTTCCTGCCTCAGCTTCCAAAATCGCTGGGATTACAGGTGTGCGTAACCATGCTTGGTTTGCCAACTCTTTAAAGCAAAATAAAAGTCTGAGAGTACGGGTCCCCAACCCGTCTCCGCCAAGGAAGACAATGAAAAAGGTTCAACTCGTTCCAGAAAGCACCAAATACTTAATAAATAGTCAAATCTCAAAAGCTCTGCCGCCGGAGAAACGGAGGGAACCACACAAACCAATGCCCCGCGGCTCTGCTGAAATTCGAGGCAGCAAAAGTGCAGACTCGCTCTTCCCGCAAAGAAAATTCTCTCTTGCCAAGTGACCCAGCCGCTAAGTTAAATTGTTTTCCCACTTTAACACGGTTGTGCTCCGCAACTGCACGAAAAACGACGAGGGGAGGGTGCGACCTGCCCTGGCTGTAAAGTCCCCCCTCCCTCCGCCCGCCTCTCCTGGAAAGGCATGGCGCAGGGAAGCCCCTCTGGGTGGCCCAGTTTCTAGATTCCCGAAATTGTTTTATGAACACTCGAAGCTCTGGAAAGAAAGAGTTCCAGGGACGCTGTGAGCCATGGGGACTCCACGCGCCCTAGGATCACCTTGAGCTCCCTTCTTTTTGAGCGCTGGAGAAGCCGTGAGCCCCAGGGACACCGCAAACCCTGAGATCCCCTCGAGTCCCGGGGACGCCATGAACCCCTGGATCGTCCCGAATCCAGGGAAGCCACCACGAAGCCCAGGATCACCTTGTACCCCAGAAATGCCACAAGCCCTAGGATAACCTTTAACTCCCATCTCCTAGAGCCCAGGGTATGCGTCCAGTCCCAGAGACGCCGCGAGCCCTGGGATCCCCTCGAGCCCCAGGGACGCCATTAAACCTAGGATCACCCCAAGTCCTAGAGAGCCACGAGCCCTAGAGACGCCGCAAATCCTAGGTTCACCTCGAACCACCGAGACTTCTAAGACCCCCTGGAACCCAGGAGATGCTACGAGCCGCAGGGACACTATGAGCTCCCAGGACGCGGCGAGCTCTAGAATAGGATCCATTGGAGCCCTGGGAGTCCCCAAGACACCACGAACGCCCAGGACGCCGCGAGCCCTCGCATTACCTGGAGCTCCCGGGGACTCTTCATGTTCCATTGCTGCAGCAAATCCTAGGATCTCCTCTAGTTACTAGGGATTCCCTAAGGCCCAGGGCCACTTCAAACCAAAGAGCCACTGGACCTGGGTCTTACCGGTCGGTACTGCCCTTACCGGTCGGTAGTGCCCAGGTTCCCACGCGCGCGCGGGTTAATCAACTGGAGATCCCCCCGCTGGCTCGCCAATAGGCAGCCAGAGGCCAGCGGCCAGCGCCCAGAGGCCGCCACTGGACACACCCAGCAGATGAACAACCAATCCGGCTGTCGTCCATGCGGCCGTCTAAGTGGGCGCGGTCCAAACCCTGTCAGAGGCAGAGGCTAGCGGGACAGTTAAGAGAAGGTCTCTTACCCTGTTCCTCCGGCATTGTGAGGTGGCTCTCTCTGACTCCAAGAGCCCGAGACTCAGCGTCTGCACAGCTGCCCTATCGCGACTGTGCCCACGAGGCGTCCGCGATAAACTGAGGCGCCGAACAGGAAGGGGCGCCAAATTCCCAACCTGAAAGTGGTTTCCACGGCTGCGCAGTAGTGCCCAGCGTGCTTGCGCAACGCTGTGGGGGGCAGGGTCAACTCCAAGTTTGGCGCCTTACCTCCCCCACTTTCTACCTATTTTTTTAAAAGGTGTACTATTTGGAATAAAACTGTTATCTTATATATAATACACATGACATATGTATATATTACATAAAATGTACATGTGATATATGCATATATTAATATAGTATATAACGTAATATATACATACGCATATAGGGGAGGAGCCGGTAGCCAATCGTGCAGTTCTGCCCTTCCCAAAATGCTCGCCACACAGCACATCAGTTTAAAAGTGTACAATGTGAGAGAAATAAAAGACTCTCCAATGTTTTTCGGGTGCTTACTCACTGCCAAAGACGCTTAGGGAAAAATAAAAATCCCAAACCAATGCAACTATTAAAATCTGCCCCATGTGTAACAATATTGGCCAAATTATAATTTGAGATCGTATGCATATAAAAATATGTAACAATGAATCTCACCATTAAGTACAATTACAATGGACCAATAAAAAATAAAGAAAAAAGAAATTTGCCTTTAATTATTATTGTATATCCATTGAATCCTCCATGTCAGCTATGTGGCTCTATTTGTGATTCTCCAAACAGTCATGTTCACTGTTTGCTTCTTTTATTAATAACTACTAGGATTTAGTTAGTGCTCACCACAAGCCACGTAACATGTCTAACCTTAGCTGGTGCTCAACACCATAAGAAATCAGTATTAGCATCCCATTTTAAACATGAGAAAATTGAAGCTATGAGAATTTAACTTGCTCAAAGCCACAAGGCTTGTGGCAGATAGATATTGATATATATTTCTGGAGGGGAGAGAGAGGCACATGCCTAGAACCCCAGCAACTTTGGAGTCTGAGGCAGGAGGATTGCAAGTTCAAAACCAGGCTCAGCAACTCAACTCAGCGAGGCAGTCTCAAAAAAAAAAAAAAAATTAAAAGGAATGGGTATGTGGTTCAGTGGTTAAGCACCCCTGGGTTCAATCATCTGATACCAAATAGAAAAAGAAAGGAAAGAAATGTATTTAGGACAGAATCTCACTATTTTTCTCAGGCTGGTCCCGGATCTCTGAGGCAGCATAAAGTGAAATATAACTAGATATGGAGGACAAAAAGAAGCAATAAAAATCTCTATGCTGTGGGAACATAGCCTTGGATCAAGTGATCCTACTGCCTCAGCTGGACTGATCCACTTGCCCTTTTGAATTTCCTAGGCACATAGAACGCAGCAGGTACACACAGTTTGTTCAGGGAATGTAACTGAAAATTCAACACATGTTCAACAATCCCTATCCATTTCATAGCTGGTCAATTCTCTCCATTTATTGACTTGATGCCTTTTCTCCATGGAGGAAGATAGAATGGAAGAAAGAAAGGATTTCCTTACTATCATTCATACAGCTAGCTTTAAATTTTCCGATCTGCCCTGTATGGCAAAATAATAGTGACCAACAAGTAAGAGAGATGTGCCAGCTGTGGGAGAAGTAGGAGGAGATGCACGTAATGCTGACCATTTATTCTCACGTGCAAGCTGGACCACTTGGGCAATGAATACATCAAGTATTTTGTCAACAGTAAGGGCAGTCATGGCAACCTGAAGTTACACTGCCTATAATGGTGTACTGGGTAATGTAATGCAGCCATTCCCCTGGAAGGCAACTACAAAAGCTAGATGACATATTTTTAATATTTTAACATTAATGAACAACATTAAGCTGACAAAACACTGAGCAATGATTGTACTATGATCTGGGAAATATCAGAAATATAGAGAGGTATGAAAAGCTGAAAGAATTGCTTTTGCCTTTGGGGATATACACACACACACACACACACACACACACACAATGTATATTTTAGTTGTAGGTGGACACAATACCTTTTTTAATTTTTTATTTGTTTTAATTAAGACCTTTACTTTATGTTTATGGGATGCTGAGGGTTGAACCTAGTGCCCCTGCTCTTGGGCATTTATTGATCATGAAAAGACCCAAAGAGGGCTGGGGATATGGTTCAGTGGTAGAACACTTCCTGGCATGCATAAAGCCCTGGGTAAGATCCCCATCACAGAACCATCACTGAAAAAAAAAAAAAAAAAAAGGCAGAAAGAGGCTGGGCTGCACTTTTAGTGGTTTTGTGAGATTGAAGGACAAACGTCAGAATCTGAGACACACAAATGGAGGGAAGCTGGTAACCACACCTTTCCTCAGACTGGGACCACAAAGAGATACCTTCAGAGTAAAAGTGATCCAGAATTTATCAACAGTTAACTAACTGCATGGGCTAGAGGTTAGCCTCATTTCACCAAAGGATTTAGCACTCCCAGGTGTCTGGCATAAAAGCATACAAAAATTATATATGGTGAAGATAATGTGAATTTCTTTCTTTTTTTTAACTTTATTTTTATTTATTTATTTTTATGTGGTGCTGAGGATCGAGCGTCACTAGTGCAAGGCAAGTGCTCTGCCACTGAGCTATAATTCCAGCCCCTGTGAATTTATTTCTACAAAGAAATTTTAAATAGGATAGCCAGTAAAAATGAAATATAACTAGATATGGATGACAGCAGGAGAAAGAAGCAATAAAAATGTATATGCTGCTGGGCATGGTGGCACATGCCTGTAATCCAGCAGCTCAGGAGGCTGAAGCAGTAGGATTGTAAATTCAAAGCCAGCCTCAGCAACTTGGTGAGGCCCTAAGCAATTTAGTGAGACCCTGCCTCAAAACAAAAAATAAAAAGGGCTGGGGATAGGGCTCAGTGGCTAAGTGCCCCTGGGTTCAATCCCCAGTACCAAAAAAAGAAAAAGAAAAATGTATATGCTGTGGGGAGGTAGCCTGCTTCATCCTTCCCCCAACTCAGCAACCACAGGGAACTTCCCGACCTAGTGATCCTGATGCAGCCACCTGGCCAGTGATCTTGGTCCCCTGAAGGACTGTATTTTAGGACAACCAGGGGAAAGGTCCAGATTGAAAATCCCAGAGGGTCCAAGCTTTCAGAAAGAAGCCCGCTCACGCTTCATTCATGAGAAACCACGGTGCCACAAAGCCTGGGAGGGAGACACCCTGGCCTGTGACTCAGTGGCATCACCTCCTAGCTGAAAACAAGGGCCAGAGGACAGCGTGCACTGCAGTTTGTAGAGCTGCAGAGACGGCCCCAATGTTTCTGGGGTCAAGGGCTACTTATTCAGGAAAGTTTGCTGGGGATCTTGGAATCAGCAGAGGGAAGGAAAGGGCACTCGACCCCCAAGAAGCCTGAGGAAGAAAGGAGACCACTGCAGCACAGACCCAGTCTGGCACCACTGCCCTGGAGTGGGGAGGGGGGCGAGGGGACACCTGTCACAGCTGGCATTTGTCACTCTGCCAGATGCTTGCTTCTGCACCCTGGCTGTACCCAGGATCACCAGGAGAACTCTTGAAACTCCTGATGCCCAGGCCATGACCCATAGACTCTCCCATATCTGGCCAGAGAGATGCTGAGCTTGAAAAGCACCAGGGAACTCACTGTCACAGGCAGCCAGGCCAGGACACACTGCTCTCTGGTCCACATGGTATCTGTCCTGGGATCATGACATCCAATCTGCACACCAGCTCACCAGTTGGGCAGGTTTAGATCATCAGTAAGAAGTGCCCCTTGTGCCATCAAGAAGAGGAAACAAAGTGACATTTAACTTACAGCATCTCAACCCACTGTGCTCACAGGGCATACAAGTGATACCACTATCCTTTTTTTTTTTTTTTTTTGGTATTAGGCATTGAATGAACCCAGGGATGCTTTACCACTGAGCCATAACCCCAGCCCTTTTAAAAATTTTAAAATTTTAAGACAGAGCCTCACTAAGTTGCTTAGGGCCTTGCTAAGTTGCTGAGGCTGGCTTTGAACTTGTGTTCCTCCTGCCTCAACTTCCCAAGCTACTGGGATTTACAGGCACACAGCATGTAGGCCACTGCACCTGGTCACCCGGTGTGATAGAGCTTTTCACAGAGCCATGTTCACCCTGATGGCGTGCTCTGGACTTCAGTCATTTCTAACCTGCTCTGTTCAAAGCACTGCAACCTGAGGATCGGTTGTGCAATGCACAAAGGAAGGCCACCTGAGGCATGCAGCCCTGAAC